AAAGGTAGAGAAGAATGTGATTAAAGTTATTGGATGGCCAATATTTTAGTGGGCCTAAGTATTTATGTATTTGACCTTTGATAATAGTTTGTCTCTCCACTAAAATGAAATCTTCATGAGAACGGGGCCTGCACAGAGGGCTTGGGAGAGTGACTGTCAAGAAGATGCTTAACAAAATCACTGTTGAATAACATAAATGTCTAAAATCAGGCTCCCCCATGAACAAGATTTGTAAGGCCAAGGGAGAGTAGGAAATAAAGACATTGACGGAAAACCTAAATGTATGAAATGTCAAACAAAGTTTATAGGGGAAGATAACTGGTGATATAGATTTGGTCAGGAATTTTGAAGTATCATTTCAAATGGATGGGGAAACAAAAGTATTTGGGAAATTCATACAAAGTTGGGTGGTGATACCATTGTAGTCTTACTAAGCCCAGATTTTCATAGTAGTTTTGAAAACTGAAAATATATATTTTGAGATAACTCAACATACTCATTCCTGTCCTAAGACTCTCATTTGAATGCTGTCAACATCCATCTTATCCTTTGCTCTTGTTTCTTGAGAATGGAATGGAAAAGAGGGATTCTATACATTTAAAAATCCCTTTTGACACTTTCTTCAATGTAAAGTAAAACACATTTTCCCCCTCAGTGCATTTTCCAGGGTAAAGAGGGATTTTAAGAAATTACAAGATGACTTCTGTGCCTCAACCTAAGCAATAGAGATTTTGGAAACTTTTCTTTTAGATAATCTATTTTACTGAAAATTAGATTTGATAAAGAATTGCGGGCTCTTTTCCCAGAATGGCTTTCTAACACTTGCTTTTTATATTGCAGATTAGCTTAATAGTGTGTCTTATATCAAATCAGGAGATGCTATATATTATTGGCCTTTATTTTGAAATTATTAATTTTTCTTTGAATAGAGGATTTTTGATTGAGGAAATAGTTCTGCTTGCATTTCCACATGTAACTCTTGTTCTTTAGGTTAAATGGGACTATGGGATTCTCTACTTAGGGCCACTAGACCGTCTTGAAATCCAAAGGCTAGAGTAGAAATAAGACAGTGTCCTTATTTGGGCAGACTCCCTGAGTTATTCACACTCCTGTTCATCCATCCCCAGGCACAGATGCTGCCTGTTCTCTCAAACCACCCAAACGTAAAGAACAAAAAATAAAGAGAAATGGTAAAATGTAAAATACTAAATTTCAAATAGAACAAACTGTTCTTTGTAGTCTAATTTCTGCAGTAAAGATAACAAATTTAGCATAGTGCTTAATACACAATAGGTATTCAATAAATATATGATAAATTAAAGGAACAATTGTATGGGTAAATGCAGCAATTTGGTAAATTTGGTATATTAAAACACTATGCTAAACTTTAAACAAATATAGAGAGGGTAGAATTCTTTAGAAAATAAAGTTGGATAAAGACTTAAGTGGTGGGTTGAATAACTCAGAGTAGCTCATTGTCTCTGTTTAAACATTTCCTCCATTCATATGCTTTCTCAATGGATGTGTAACTATTATATGTATCCATTTATTTTATAATAATTGAATATATCTATTGCCCTGAATTATGAACATAACCATTAATGAGCATCCACTTTATTTAACAGCTAGTTTAATACTGTATGGCTACCCCTATTTGAGACTATTTTGTCCCTCATGCTCTAGCTCTTAAACAAGTGGTGCTTCCCCACCAATTGTGGCTCAGTTGTTGAGCATCAATCCATGAACAAGGAGGTCATGGTTTGATCCCAGTCAGGGCACATGCCTGGGTTGCTGGCTCAATCCCCAGTTGGGAGAATGCAGGAGGCAGCTGATAGTGATTATCTCTTATCATCGATGTTTCTATCTCTCCTTCTCCCTTTTCCACTGAAATAAATAAAAATACATATATATTGCCCTAACTGGTTTGGCTCAGTGGATAGAGCGTCGGCCTGTGGACTGAAGGGTCCCAGGTTCGATTCCAGTCAAGGGCATGTACCTTGGTTGCAGGCACATCCCTAGTAGGCAGTGTGCAGGAGGCAGCTGATCGATATTTCTCTCTCATCGATGTTTCTAACTCTCTATCCCTCTCCCTTCCTCTCTGTAAAAAATCAATAAAATATATTTTAAAAAAGTACATATATATTTTTAAAAGAAGTGGTGCTTCTTAGATATATTTAATGTGCAAAAAATGATGTTATCTAGAAAGCTTTGTAAAACTAAAGATTCAAATAAGAAAATAATAATTAATTGTACAAATTATAAATTTAATACCTTTAATATGGTAGAGGTAATTTATATTACTTGACAACCTTGGAAAATTTTAAATTAATAGATATTATTATTGTTGACATCCATATACTGAATTTTAATTTCAAAATATTTAGCATGAAAGCAGAAATAATATAGTCTAAAATTATTCCTGAGAAATAAAAATATATACGAAAAAAATCTAAATTTAATTATTTAAATTTTTTTTTATTGATTTTAGAGAGAAAGGGAGAGGGAGAGAAATAGAAAGATCAATGATGAGAGAGAATCACTGATTGCTTTTTGCATGCCCCTTACTGAGGATCCAGTCCAAAACCCTGGCATGTGCCCTGACCAGGAATCAACTTGTGACATCCTATTCATAGGTCAATGCTCAACCACTGAGTCATACCAATTGGGCAAAATATAAATTTAATTTCAATATTTTTATGTTTTATATCAATTATATGTTTACTAGAGGCCTGGTGCACAAAAATTTGTGCACTCAGGGGGGTCCCTCAGCCTGGCCTTCACACTCTCACAGTCCGGGACCCCTCGGGGAATGTCCACCTACCGGCTTAGGCCCACTCCCCAGGGGATCAGGCCTAAGCTGGGAGTCAGTCATCCCTCTGGCAGCCTGGGGGATGTCCATCAATCAGACATCTTAGCGCTGCCCCAGAGTCAGGAGAGGCTCCTGCCACTGCCGCTGCCTTCGCAGCTGTCAGCCCGGCTTGTGGCTGAGTGGAGCTCCCCCTGTGGAAGTGTACTGATCACCAGGGGGCAGCTCCTGCGTTGAGCATCTGTCCCTAGTGGTCAGCGCACGTCATAGCGACCGGTCATTCCTAGTTGTTCTGCCATTAGGGTCAATTTGCATATTGCCCTTTTATTATATAGGATACTTTTACAATGTTTCCCTCTCAGCTGTGTACTTCCTCTCATATTATAGAGTAGTGGTTCTTAAACTTTTAAATACATAGGAATCATCTGACATACATATTCAAAATGCTGGTTCTGGCCCTGACTGGTTTGGCTCAGTGGATAGAGCGTCAGCCTGCGGACTGAAGGGGTCCAGATTCGATTCTGGTCAAGGGCATGGACCTTGGTTGCGGACACATCCCCAGTAGGGGGCGTGCAGGAGGCAGCTGATCGATGTTTCTCTCTCATCGATGTTTCTGACTCTATCCCTCTCCCTTCCTCTCTGTAAAAAATCAATAAAATATATGTAAAACAACAACAACAACAACAAAAACAAAAACAAAATGCTGGTTCTGGAACCAATTCCCAAAGATTCTGATTAAGCAAACCTGGCATAGTGCCCAGGAATAGATGTTTGTGTAGGTTCACTTCAGGCTACATTGAGATGTTCCTTAAAATATTTGCAGAATAGAAGAAGAAATTGTTCCTAGAAACAATCAAAATAGAAGAGAATAAAGTGGAAATATTTTAAAAGCTGTATAGTAAGGACCATACTGCCAGAGCATCAGCACATGCTTTTCATTATAAAATTATTGAAATAACCATTATCACTGTGACAATTATTTCCTAGGAAACTAAAATGCTTTTGATTCTGGTTATATGCATTTTCAGACCACTTTGTTTATTGTAATAATAATATATGTAAAATTTATGAAAATTAATATAAAACATGTTTATACAATAACAAATGTGATTCTATTCTGTAGTATCATACTGAATGAGAAGTAGGAGAAACTCCTAGTATTGAAATAGTTCATATTACAAGCTCTTCCCAAAAGGTGAAGACCTTGTAATATAACAAAAACCTACCAGACAGATTTATTTAATACCTTGGTGAGTTTATAGGTCTATAGTTGGTTTATTTCTAAATGATTTTAGTATTGGAGACTGATTGTATCCAACTTCCTGAGGGTTGAAAAAAACACTAAAATGCGAATAGTGAAATAAAGTCTTCAAGACAGGCTCATACTATAACACTACTTCTTCTGTATACAATGAGAATAATGTGAAAGACAATTCTTTGGAAATCTAAAATATCAATAACACTTGACTTCAAATAATGATCTGTGAGATAATTTAATCACCTCAAATTTACTTGATAGAATAATGTTTATGTCTAGTGAATATATGTTAGAAATGACAGACCAAAGAAGCAATTTGATTGGTTAATGAAGAGTCTAAGAATGATAATTGAATTTGATGGAATTCATTAGTTAAGACATTCAAGCAGATACTTTACAACCCCAATTATGTACTCTAACATATGTAATAGTACAATATGATATATGTACTTCATTGTTCAATTAAGCATATATGAGAATAAGACATGGCATGGCACAAAAAAACGTCAGCCTGAGACAAATTCTGCCTCCTCTCTCGCCCCCTTACCCAAATATCATCCGTACAACAGGGCACAAAGGCACAGAGGCAGATGTCATGGCATATTCTTGCAGAATGCAAGGCTGCTCAAGATCATCTACAGATAATGATCCATGACATCTTGGGATGTGATGAAGTATAAAATGAAAGTAGGAGAAAGCAAAAATGTCATATAAATGACCAGTGCCCCATCAACTAAACTAGCACTTCAAGGGTATTAATACTAGTAATAATTACAAAAGATATTTACTTTAATATCATAAAATCAGCTTAAAAGTAAGAGATACAAACCTCTGATCTTCTGTGCAAATGCCCTACTACCAAAATATGTATAAGGATGGGGCTGGGGGAAGATGATCATCAAAAAAACTATCAAAGTTTCTGTTTTATCCAAATACCTTAATCAGACAGTTGCAGCACAATTTCCAGGAATGAAGCAATAGGCAAATGGACAGTCTCTCGATCTGAATCCAGGCGTTTGTCACTCAAGTCCTTGCTAGTTCTCGTTTTCCTGTTTTCCCTTGAGAGAGAATAAAAGAAATAATCCATCACAATGCTGGCCTGCAATTCTGCACTTGCTTTTACTACTAACTGGGCATAGAGAGTTCTGATTATTTATGCAGCCCATTCATTATTCACATCCTGCTCTAGCCTCCTTAATTCCTGGTTGTGCTAGGTGCTCCGGGCTAAGAATCAATACATGTGAATCATGCTGGCATAAAGAAAAATCCAGAAGGATGAATGTTTCAAAAAAGCGAATTCTTCACGTTTCTTCTGACACACTAGTATCCTGTCCAATGGCATTGGTCTGCAGAGCAGAAATAGCATGCACTGCCATAGCAGTGCCCAGAGGAATTACCCACTGGGGGAATTATCTCTAAGCAATTCACACTTTGTTTTGCTAACAAGACTCCTTGTTAGGATACTGAAGTGCTATCCATCTCTGGCAGGGTTCCCCCACCTTTTAGAATTATTGAAAAGCTAACTGAGTCTATTTTGACTTGTGAATCTCTTTGTAAGCAACAGCAGTGACACTGTGCTAATAAAAAGGAAAGGTATTGCTATCTACCTAGTAAGGACATTGAAATACAGCACATACAAATGCATCTGACTTGCAGAGCGGTTCTATCTTAATATTTTAATAATTCCCTTCCTTCCTTGCTTCTTCTGTTCTTTTCTCCTCTCTCCCTCTCTTCTTTCTCTTCCATTGTTTTTTTTCCCTTCTTCCTTTTATTGTTTTATTTAATGCACTCCTTAATGCATTTATCTACTTTCTTATATAGAGAAACCTACTTTCTTATATTTTGGGTTTTTAAATAATGATTTTAGAATATGAAATCCCCAAACTCTAAGTACGGTGGCATAATTCATTCACAAATGTAGAAACACAAGGAGGGAGATTTATGTTATCAGCTGAATCTTGTAGTCCTAATTAAGACCGGAGACTGCATATTCCAGTAGCTCTTATCCTAATCAGACCATTCCGCTCTCTTTACAGTTTCAGTTTCAATTCTCTGGAGGGAGCTAACATAGCAACACCCTGTAGGACTCAAGTTTTTCCTACAAGATAAATGCACACACAATCTCCTGCAGCTTTCATTATATTCTGAATAGAATTTTATAGTTTTTCTGCAGCTATAAGGAGTCCTATTTGCCAACTGATAGAACAGAATCCTTATGGCTTAAATCCATGTAGGAAAATATGAGGGTTTACTAGGTTTGGGAAAACCTTAGTTGTTGGTTTAAAGAAATAGGTGTTGCCTACGAGAACTTTGTTCCCTGAGTGGCTTCTGAGCTCCGTTTTGCCTTGTTTCCATTAGAAGTGGTTATTTATTATCTGTGATTCAGTCACTGAACATTAATTGACTGCCTATATTGACCTCTTTTTCTTTTTCTTTTTTGGCCAGATCGTGGGGATAAAAAAGGGAAAGATAGTTCCTTTCCTCTGAAAAAAGTATTATCTGTGATTCAGTCACTGAACATTAATTGACTGTCTATATTGACCTCTTTTACTTTTTCTTTTTTGGCCAGATCTTGGGGATAAAAAGGGAAAGATAGTTCCTTGCCTCTAAAAAAATAGTTGGGGAGACAGATAAAGAAATGAAATAGAATATTACTACAAATTGAAAAGTGCCACATGGAGATTTAGGATATGCTAGGCACTGAAGGATTCTTCCTCTCCTCAAGGAGAATTCTGATTTCTCATTTCAAGAGACGTACAAAACATCACTGACACTGTGTGCTTATGTGCGTATGTGTGTGTGTGTGTGTGTGTGTGTGTGTGTGTGTGTGTCCTTCAGAGTGTTGGGCATGAGATGATCAAATAATCACATTCTGAAATTCTTTCATAGTTTACACATTGTGGCTTTTCACAATTGGATCCTTTTTTCAACAATGATTCCAAGCATAAAGTGGTTTTTCCTGCCAGGGAGCAGTTAAAGCCTTTTCCCATGGCCACAGGTCCCAAAAAGTATTTGATTACTCAAAAAGCACAGCCAATCGGAGTCATTTTCTTCATGTTGGAAAGAATACATGAGTTAGAAATATATTCCCATTCTGGATGCCAAATAGCGAAGATTAAAAACCATCTGTCATTGGGACCATGAGCCCACAAGCAAGCAGTAGACTTCCAGCAGAGCCTGGGGCAGGACCCACGCGTGATGCAGACTGAGAAACACAAGATTCAACTAAACTCATTTGCTCAGTCACATGGTATAAAGGCTATTACCAGCTCCCACCAGAACCCACTTTGCCATGAGTTGCATAAAACCATGTGCTATAAAGTGAAGACGTTTTTTATGGAAATTCATTCTTTCTCTCAGAAACAATTTTCTAAATGCTTATTTGTGTCAGGCAAAGGAAAGCAACAGCTACCTCAGTGCCCCCTCACTTCACCCCAAGGAGCCTTCAGGCTAATGAAAGACAGAGATAGATAATACACAAAGAGTATATGCAATTATATAATTCCTTACATTGTGATGAGTTCTAAAAAGATACTAGGAAAGTGAGATCAGGGGGCCTCATCCAGAATTGGCATCCATGTAGAAACCACATTTATGAATTAGCATTATATAATTCCTTACATTGTGATGAGTTCTAAAAAGGACAGGTAAAGATACTAGGAAAGTGAGAGCAGGGGCCCTCATCCAGAATTGGCTTCCATGTAGAAACCACATTTATGAATTAGTTGGGTTTGAAGGTATATTGGGAGCTGGGGGCGGTGGGTAAAGGGGTGGATTCAAGGTGAAACAATATGTTTGTGAAGTCCTGAGGCAGAAAATGAGCTTTATAGGTTTGAAAAGCAACAACAAAAATGGTGAATGTGGTTGGATATAGTGAATATGGAGAAACACGGAGCATGTCAATGCTGGAGGCAGGCCTGGGTGAGCCTCTGCTGAGGCTCCAGCTGAGGGAACCATGGGAGGCCACTGAAGGATCTACCTAGTCCCTCTAGTTACACTTTGAATAATGGTGTGGAGTTATGGGTGGGTGGCGACATTTACCATGATTCAAAAAAAACCTATTTTACCTATTACCAGGAGTAAAAATTATCATATTAATTTAAAAATTAGTTTTCAGGCTCCCTGATGTTCAGTCGGTTGATTTGTTTAACTGATAAGTAACGCTGTGCTGCTCTTCGTACTGTTCTTCGTAGTGCTTATCATTGTTTTGCATGTATGCTTGTTTCCTCTTCTCTCCTCCATCACCTCTTTAAAAACTTCTAAGAGCTAAAGTTCTTTTCATTTTGGTTTATTAATGCATAACTGGGGCCTAGAACATCATTTGGCACAGAACAGTAGTAGTTCCACAAATACTTCTTGAATGTATACATGAATGGGTAATTTAGAAAATGGTCTCCGAGATGCTAACAATCATTTAATGTTACTGTTCCCCTAAGTTACTTTCATGATAGGTCAACTTTGCATGGTAAACTATAGCACATTTGACTAATAAAATGTGCTCCTGCTGATTTGTCATGAAAAACAGTATTTAGAGTTACAGCTTATGGGAAAAGCATACATAAACCAATTTGGGTTAAGCAAATGTATAAAAAATAAAACATGAAAGCAAAATAAATTTTGTCCTAACTAAGATACTTCTCTTAGACTTTGCACTTCAAATTTTATAATATTAAAAGA